TTTTCGTCAATCGTATCTCCAAGAGGCACCGCCGAACCTGATCTTCCACGCGTTTCGATTAGACTATTCCATCCTTGAATAGCCTCTTTGCATACTAGCTCGCCAAGTTTTTATTCTCTTCTCGTAACTTTGAGGCGAATTCAGGAGGCCAGTCAAGCATTCGATTGCAAAATATAGAACATTGCCGCCCAACAGTATGTAACGTCCTGCCCGTCGTTTCTAGTTGAGCTTTGTCATGAAGACTCAGCCACATAGGCCGCAGATAGACCACTGGTATTTAGTGCATACATCATTCCCAATGAATAAAGGAGCCTGGTCCGGGCACATGTCATACATTTGAAGAGCATGACGAGTTCTGCCGCAGACGTTGGCTATTCAAGCAAAGAGGACCGGATGATAGGTTCAGCTGCTGATATCTAGATGCTCTGTGACGAGATATTCACATTGTATAATCGAAATATATCATGGCCAGTCTTGTGCCAGCCGGGTTGAGTACAATCGCAAGAAGGTTCGAATGTCGAGTTGGCCAACGCGGGATGCCGGAACGATGAATGCCCAGCGTCATCTCGAATCAGTAGCACCAGAGAGTATACTCATGTGGAAGTTCCCCTTGCATGTGTACTCCGTAAAGTGGTCGGCATCTAGGCATCCAACTCGTTTGCAGCTTTCTCAAAAATGGCAGTGAACCGCCACACTCCGCCTACTTGAAGTTTGTTGCATGGATGATGGGGACAACACACCTGGGCACTACTCCGCAGTCGTGACTCGTAACATTGAAGGTCTGGAAGGTGCCCTTCCGTGGTGGCTGTTATTCGTCTGGTTGTATTGATTCAATACCTGCCTGCGTGTAGCATTGTCAAAGGCATGCATGCTAACCAGGGCCAATCTCAACCCATCCATCCAACCCACCCATATAAGGCATATCACCACAAGGTTATCCATCCTGCCTCTCGCTTTTCATCGTGCCTATTTTCGTTCTTGCTTGGCCTCTAGAGGGTACAGGCTGAGCTGGTATAACAGTCTCGAAGCCCACTGGGCTAAATTCTTCCGGCCCCATTGGAAGCTGATCGACGTCAATTTCCATATTCAGCAGACTCCTGATCACAACACGGCACCCGGCCTTGCTCATTACTTCGTTGGATTCTTTACACATGACTGATGCCACGCATTCAACACAGCCACGCTGGCATTGGCACTCTTCAACGCGCCGCAGTGCCATGTTCAGCAAATGATCTATGTGATCAAATGCTTTCGTGCTGATGCCCGATCCGCTAGCACCACCTTTTGCGTCATAAAATGTCAGTCTTGCAGGCCGCTTTCTTTGCGATTCCTTCTTGGAGAATTCCTTCAGCGCCACTTTACACTCAGTCCTCACGTCTTCTGGCATGCTAATGACAAATGTAGGAAGTAAGCTCATGACTGCATGTTCTGCGGCATGGATCGCCGCGGCCGAATTCAGACGTCGGTCTTGAAGAATGTCCAGTGCTGTTCTTGGAACATCCAACCACATGCCCTTGCTGTACCGGATAACTGGCGGGTTGTCGACTTGAACGGCATCCAGAACTCGCCCCTTCCTGTCCACTTTGAAATACCCAAACACATTTTGCTGAATCTTAATTGTTCCATAGTAAGCCTGGGATAAGGAACATGGGATCTTCCGAATCGCCTCTGTCTCTGTTGGGTCAATATCTGTGAAGTCTCGCTGGGTAGTTGTCCAGTCCACCTTCACCTTTTCTACCTTGGCCATTTGTCTGTCGGGGAGAAAGTCTCGTACAAGGTACGTATTGCCCTGGTGAAGGAATATGGCTCCATCGTATATGGTGAATGTAGCTCTTGACGCTTCTAGCTCCTCTAATACGGTGTTCAGACCATTTGTAATGTCGATAATGGCAAAATGCTCGTCTTCTGTGTCCCGTATTGCGACATAGCGAGATGGCTGAGGTCGAAATCGGTCATGACAATGATAGTAACCCATCTCATCCTGAATCAAGCGGGTCCTACAAACGTCGGAAATATCAGCTCCAAAATATTGAGCATCTTGCTCAGGTCTAATTGGCAATTCGTATGCCGCACATTGGATATGCCCTTCCCGAACTAGCATGTTGCTAAGATCGACCTGAAGTTCGCAGTTAGGTTTAGTAAACAACTCGTCTGGATTTTGCATGTAATGTTGGTCTGTCGCGAATCCATCCCCAACAAGAATAGACAAGGAGTCCTTGTTACGCCGCCCCGCGCGGCCACTCTGTTGACGCAAATTTGCTATCGTATAAGGAAACCCCCAACTCATGACAGAGTCAAGAGTGCCAATGTCGATGCCCAATTCCAGCGCTGTAGTCGAGACAATTCCTAGCAATTTGCCCTCAAACATTTCAGATTCGATACGGCGGCGATCTGCGGCGGTATAACCACCTCGGTAGCCCATAACTAGATTTATACACTCTGGTCGACCGAGAGACTCTAGTTCTTGCTTAATGGCATTAACCAAGATCTCACACTGGGCTCGAACCCGACAAAACGCTATGATTCGGACACCTCTCAGCAGGAGGGCGCAGAAAAGTCTGGCACATTCAAGCTTCGCATTCCCACGGCCGCTCGCGGGGTCACCCGGATCCTTGTATGGTGTATTCCAACACAAGAATTCCTTGCGTCCCGAAGGGGATCCGTCATAATCAATCAACGCCACATTTTTAACCCCGAATATCGTTTCGAAATGCTCCTTCGGGTTGGCAACAGTTGCAGAACAAGAGATGAAGCGGACTCGCCGGTTTCCCACTGCAGCGCAAATGCGTCTTAGTCTTCTCATGATGAAAGCAACATGTGAACCGAGCTGCCCGTTGTAATAGTGAAGTTCGTCAACTGGATACAATGTCAAATTAGTGAGTGATAATGCAGAGGGATAGGCAGGCTTCTACAGACCTACTACGTATTTCAAATGTTTCAGGAAAGTTCTCCAACGTTCTTCCTGTGGCAATATTGTGACATGAAGCATGTCAGGATTCGTGAATATAACCCTGGCTTCTTCACGAATCGTAGTGCGTTCGCTCATTGGCGTATCACCGTCGAAGGTTTCAACGACTGTGGCTTCAAGGCCAGGCATATAGACCATCATTTCCTTCAAACTCCGCTTCTGGTCCTGCGCTAATGCCTTTGTCGGGAAAATGTACATGGCTCTGGAATTGTAGTCTTTTTCAAGTGCGTATAGGACAGGGAGCTGGTATATCAAAGACTTGCCCGAGCTGGTCGATGTTGCCACGACAACACTTTTGCCCTCGTGGAGGTGGTTTAGGGCCTCCGCTTGGTGAGCATAGAAGCGCGTGATACCTTTGGCATTATACAGCGCGTTGACAAGATCTTGAGTCAACAGGAAACCAAGATCACCATAAATAGCCTCTTGAGGCTCGAAAACCCTATGGCCGTCCGGTACGATTTGCCCTGTATACCAAGAGCTTTCTTTCAGCTCTTGCACAATCTCTGGTATCGATTTACGATCCTTCGGGATATTCTCCGGTATTGTACTTGGTCTTGACTCTGCTGCGACATCGTTCGTTGGAGATGGTTTCGGGATGAAAGCCTGCGCCTGCTCCCTGAGAGTTACATCAGGATCCAGTCCATCTTGCACACACTTGTTCAGAAATATATTTATAGCATTTTTGAACTTCTGGTTTCTCCTCTCAATTAGCTGAGCCATCTGTTTCTGACCGTATATCGGCATCTTCAGCTGCTCGTCGCGAAGCTTGCGGTTTGGCCGCACAGGCTCGCCCGTCTTCTTGTCTTGCACTTGGCGTTTTAGGTCTCCGTCGACGAACTCAAAGAATAGCACCTCTCGGCTACCATTACCGGTTTTACTGCGGCTGTGATCATCCAGGCTCTCGTTTCCCGTCCATCCGCCTACGGATGCATCATGCGCGGGAGCTTGCGAGCGAGAGGATTTCGAGGGCTTAAACGTATCATCTCTTTCCGAGCCCTTAATATCAAGCTGTAACATGAGCTCATCCACGTAAGCAAAATTGATACCCTCGGGTCGCAAGGCAACTACTAATGCCACCTCTTCCTCCATCAGTGGTCGCTTAATGTGAGTTTCGACTGTCGGCTTTATGTTTTCAAACGTCGTTGCAAGATGTTTCCGGCTGCAGCAAAATGTAAAGACTAGATTCAAAGCCTTATGAGTCTTTTCTAACACTTTGAACGTATCAGGCCATTCTATAACACAGCTTGTACACCGAGACGGTGCCTTCTTCACAGTCAGTTTAGTCCCTCCACCTAATTCAGCCTGGTTTTCTTCCTGGTCAGCAGATTTCCCAAGTACATCCTTTCCATGCTGTACCAAGCAGAGACTCTGTTGCTCATTGAGGGAGCGTTTGCGCTTCTTATCAGGATGGCTATGGTGATCATCAGCCTGCTGATCATTGAGATCAGAATCAGGCTTCATCGCAAATCAGCAGCCAGGAAAATATTACTTGAAAGGTCGTTAAGTATCCATACAGTCGTGCAGAGCAATTTTGCTAAACGTGTAGACCGTACCTGAATCGAAAACTGTTTAAGCCGGGCGTGAGTGGGCTTTCGTGGTAGCAACGCGTAGTCACGTGCGTGGTGTCACAGACGGTGCGTGGGTGATAGGTGACGTGACATTCACGGATCTTCTAAACAATGTTGAGTACATTTGTCAGTTTCTTTGTATTGCGTCTGTATCCTTTAATGCCTGGCTATTTAAATAAACGCCTTCTGAAGCCTCTAAATCACCCTTTTCTTTTATTGATAACCTTCATACTCATACATGTTGTCGTCAAGCCCCTTTCGTAACAGACCTCTGTTGCAACGGTACCTTGCGCTACATATCCGTCAGCAGATCAATCATCAATTAGTGCGCAGTCGGATTGAACCCTCACATGTGCAAGTTAATTGACACACTAGAAGCATGCGGCTAGTTCCCTCGTAGTTCCCTTTGTATGGCACCAACTTCATTTAAAAAAAGTTTTGAATTGACTGCAGACATCTGTAACTCAATCAGTACCTTCTGCACCAACCGAAAAAGTGTATAGCTGAAAAGATCTCACCCTGATTGTGATGCTCACTGGTTTCGTTTCTGCTCCTTCGAAAGCGGTGAATAGGATACCAACAGACTTCAAAGAAGCTTTCTCTTGAAATTCCATAGCAGGGAGAATTGCAGTGTTTAGTATGACTCGATGGGTTTGGTCTTGACGCAAGATAAGACGAGCAACTTTGGGACCTGCAGAGTCGCTATCAGCAGAGTCACCATTTGTTTCTAGACCTGACGCGTCGAAGCTGCCCGGAATCACAGCACCATCGTCGTCAAACTCAACGCTTGCATGAGGGACATTAATTTTCAACATGCCAGCTCCCCGCTCTTTCCAGCCTTCTTTCTTGTCCAGACAAAACATCTTTGCTCGTACAGACACAACAGTAACCTCACCAGCCTCGCCATCATCAACCGCAACTGTTATGGTAATCCAGTCAGTAGGAAGTCAAATACAATAGCAAACCAAGACCAAGAAAGGTCCACGTACTCTTGTGGAGCTTAGGCCGTTTCTTCTCATCTGCATCTTTCTCCGGCGATGCGCCTCGTTCTTGATCGTCAGGTTGACTCTCATCATCCCCTTCCTCGTTATCATTATCATCGTCGTCATCCGCATCGCTTTCCGGTGCTCCAAAGGGCTTTGCTGCTTTCTCGCTCTGGAGGGGCTTTGTACCAGCAGCGCCGAAACTGCCCAATGGCTTAATTCCTGACAACCCGGAGCCGAATTTACTGCTTCCAACTCCATTAGTACCTGAGCCGAGTCCTGCAAAGGGCGAAAGGCCTGAATTCGAAGCGAACGACAACTTCGGGGCATTTCCGGCTTGCCCTTTGTTTGCACTTGTCCCGCTTGTTTCTGAGCTAGATACAGGCTTCACCGACGCAAAAGACGATAGAGTTGGCTTATTTGAAGCGAACCCGCCACCTTGGGATGATCCCAAAGCTGCGAAGCCTGAAGAGCTTGATGCCAGTTTGCCAAATGCCGACTCCGCAAATGTACTACTAGAGCTTTCCTTCGTCGGCTGAGTAGGCATTTTGCTATTATTTTGAGTTGATTGATGTACTTCTTCTGTGCCTGATGGAGGATGCTGCATCAAGGCAAATTGACCTTACGTCAGTCTAAGTTATTTGAGTGGCTGGGAGTTATGTCTTTTGGTTGTAACAGTAAGCTTGGACGTACCGACACTGTATCAACAGGCTCTCCATCACGATGCCTCTTCTTTTGCGGCTCAAGCCGCATGGCTCTGTCTTTAGCAGAGTCAGTAGATGTGACACTCGTAGCGTCGTTGTCTTGCGAATCTTGCTCCCCATCTAGCTGGTCATGGGCCCGCTTCTTCTTAGGCGAGGAGACCTGCTCCTTCAGCTCATCAATCTTCTCATCCGATATGCCAACGGAAGGCGTTTCTGGGCGGTTGTCATCGGTAGCAGTTGTTTTGCCAGGTTGGTCAGAGATGGATGACTGCTTAAGCTCCCGTCTAGTAGCGCGCGTCTCAGCATCTTCGGTAGTTTCGACATGCGTGGGTTCATTCTTGGGGCTGAATCCTGCTCCTTGTACATCGTCGGCCATGACGGGTGGATGAGTAGTGGCAGCGGTGTGCTAAGAGTGATAGTTGACGCAGTGAGAAGTGCGCAAATTGCGCAGTTTCATTAGGCTAGGCGCAGAGACTCGGATAGGAACGACTTGGTAGAGATTAAAAAAGCTGTTACAAGATCAGCGGCCGTAGGTTTGCCGTCTAATGGGAGCAAAGTAGCTATTTTATTGCCCTCTGAAGAAAGATCGGTAGATTATGCGCGTAAAACAGTCTGTTTGCTGTCAGGATCTTTGGTTGCGTAGACTGAACAGACCCCAGCAGGAGAGGGGAAAAGAGGCGAAGGCTGCCTAAATGGTGTCAGGGCCCCGTCGTTCCTTGATTCAGTGGGAGTTCTCAATCGGTCGGTCGCTGCTGATGTATTTAATTCGACGACGGCAGGTTGCGGTCTGCACACATACGAGCATGGAGTTCCTGGTCGTCACCACCACGCTCACGCGTGGGACATTTGAATGTGGGAGGCTGCTGTTTGCTGGTCCAATCACTGTGGCTCCTCGTCTTAGCGTGCTAGAAAAGCCATACGGCCCCCTTTCACCGCCCACTCACTACTATTTCAGGTGAGGGGTCAAATGGTCACCAGGGCCAAGTCGGCTGGCGTTCGGTCTGTGCTATTATATCAAATTACGAGACATGTGGTCCTTCCAATGATTTTAGAGCATCAGGCATTAGACTTGGACTTTCATATCACGATGGAAGCGCTTCAACAATTTCAATTGGTCAGCGTTCTGCATCATTCATAGATTACTTGGCGATGCTGACACTGATTTGGGCACGAGCTCTTGAATACCAAGCTCTAAGTGCACCTGACTTGATGTCGTCACCATTTTACTTTGATTAGCGGACATACAAACATCATATCATAAAATGAGACCATGCACATTAACCGTTTGAAGTCTGTGAATATCCAGACTTCTAATAAACGACCAATAAAGTACAAAAATGTGAAAGCATTGAGCAAAACTCCCTGAAACAGTCTCCAGCTCTTCGGTCCGCAGCAATACATCCAGCACATTGAAGTGTCACCAGACTCACCACCTCTTAGGCATTGTTCCTGGTCTTCATAGCGGAATGACTCAGCTAATAAAGCACAAGCATCCGAGACCTACATAGAAGATAAACAGCGGGTATACCGCAATGGCAACTCGGTTTTTGACGACGCCGCTACCTCCTAAGATACTCACGCCAGCTGCAAGTGACCATGCAACCAAAACAATGTACACGGGTATCCGTGGAATCCAGTGTAATCCCAATGCCGAAAGCAGCCCAGCAATGACAAGAGGGAACAAGGTGTAGCCAATGATGCAGACACTCTGAGCAAAGGAGCTGAATAGTAGTTAGCTATACAGCAATCTTTTGGCTTAGTCAGTCAAGGGAAAGGAAGTATGCTCATAAACGTACATGTTACCGCCTAATAATTTGATCTGCAGAGTAACTACAGCTTCGCCGAGCCAGATCATGGCGAAGACTCCGCTAAAGACAGTATCCTTTTGCTCAGCTCGGGCCGCAATGCTAAGCAATAGACTCAAAAGTAAGCAAAAGATGAGCGGGCCCCAAAGGTCCCAGTCACGAAGTCCCGGGCTCATGTTACTTTGCAAAAGCGCTTCCGCATCCATCATACGACTGGCCAGGCCTGTGAGTTCTTCTCTTGTCCCTGTGATGCCTGCCCCGCGGATATTAGAGTAGGCGCCTCGTAAACCACCTTCAGAATCAAACATTGTGCCGCCCAGAAGATATCGAGGGTAAAGGACTTCTCTCAACTTGGCCCACACCGCAAGCAAGTCTCGGCGTACTGTTTCCCATACGGTCTCGTCTATAGTGTTCTGTGGCGCTCGTCTGTCTTCGCCCGGAATCGACGAGGTGAGGTAGCTTTCATTGAGAGGACGTGATGAGGTGGAGCCGATATTTCCTGAGAGAGGCTGCCGCGCAGACCGATTTTCAAGGGGGTCGTCAAAGTCATTCAAATCAGCTTCTGTTGTTAGCAACGTGTCGACTGTCGAAATTGGAGAATTGGTAGATGATATATTTTGGTTCTGCAAACAGCCAGGGGGGGGCTTGTTATCACCACAAGTACGTACCATCATCTGGGTCAATTAAATCATCATCCTCCAGGGAGGGATGGCTGTAGTTTCCTCTTGCGCTTGCGGAAGACATGTTGAGCGACCGTGGGTACTGAAGATGACGCGGGTAACGTAGTTGGACTCTCGTGCCCCTGACGGCGAGTGTCCTCCAACAGGGCAGTGTAATGCAACAGACAAAAGAGTGATTCTTGCCAGAGTAGTTCTGTTACTAGGAGGTCTCCCCGAGTTATATGATACGAGATCACTGTGATCCCTTGAAGCTCAAGATTGGTATGAAGGGCGGGCGTTGCGCGATTCCACCAAGTGATGTGGCCAACTTCACTTGACCATTGCTGACGTTGCTCAGAGCTTCCAAAAAAGATTGCTTGTCCCCCAGCCAATCAGACGTAACGCTGATCTGGGCCTGCCTACTTAAGTAGTAGTAAGTACTACGAGGTACCTAAGCTAGTGGTGCATGCTCATGATGACAGTGCAGCTATCAAAAGACAGGTCCTAAATCATCACGGGCCGTTAAAAGTTTGGATAAATGAACAAAAAAATATCAGCTATATTACAATAGCTGATAGGTACTGAATATCTACCTATTGTCCAATACGGATCTAGGTAGGTAGGTACCTAGTACGTAGATGGCGGTTACCAGAAACAGGCATCGCGCGTAGGTACCTAGTAGGTACTGGTAGTCGTTGTACTCCCTGGACACTGGCGCATCAACCTGACAGGGGATCGACTCTCTCAAACACTGGCACAGGTGTGTGATTCAACCAACGGCTGACATTGAATGCTGAGAGAAATCCAGAATCTCGCGCAAGTGTACGAGAAACGTGCTCCAGCGAGGTCAACGGGTTCGATTATCACTAAGTCCGGTTATGTCTCACAATTGAACAACGGGGCCTTCGTATCCATGAATCGATTCGTTGCCTAGGAGGTCAACTAAGATCAATATCCTTCGCACCGCATATCCTCAACGAAATATACACAACTCTGGTGTCTCAACTTTACGGGTCCCCCTGACCCCCTTCCGAAACTCCTTGGGAAACGCCTGCAACTAGGCTACCTGCCCAACTTTACTCTGTGCTATAGGTACTTGCTCTCCCAACAGTTGTTCGTGGTACGGCATTCACAGTAATACGTTCTTCGCAGCTAATTATCAGCGCCTCATGGCGGCAACCGATGGCTCAGTCTTTGAGCTACCAAAATTACGCGTCTCTATTGGATTTGAGGTGATACCATGGCCAATTCAAGCTACCTGATCTTCGGGGTCTTCTCCCGTCAGTTCATCACTAATGGCATCAAAAGAACGACACGCGGTTTCTTGGCCACGACGACAATGTGGCAGGTATTATGAGCCACAATAAGCGCCATTCTTTTTATTTTATTTTAGTTCTAACATTTTCCATACTTCCAGAATTCTTCGATATCAAGTTTTGTCCCTATCAGCCTTTGGACTGTGACCCAGTATTTGCCGCTGTGAGCAAGAAACATGTGAGAACATCCCTTCGGGGTGATCATTCATCTTCACTTGCTTTGTTATTTTTGAAGAATAGAAATCAAACAAGTTACCGTCATATTTATTTGCTAACACCCTGCCAAGATTGTTATCTGCAAGCTTTCACCAAGTACAGGTGAATCCAACCCTTGCGACATTATCAACATTATTCGAGATGACGATGTGCGTAGCAATTTCACCTTGAACGGGAACATGATTGATTTCTTGGCATCAGCTTAAATTCTGACAGTTCGAGTTATTTCTACACTAGGATGAGGCATCTGGCTGTTGTTGTACGTGGACAAAGGATCCTGTGTCAGGTACTCCATACATCTGCGTAGGCGGCGTCGATGCCAAGGTCAAAATATACGACGTCTCCGATGGGAGCCTAGTAGAGGTAATGTAAATGCCATTTCCAATAAATTCGATGGGACTGGATTTTAACTCACTTGTTACAGTGTTTCGTTGGCCATGGAGGGGTGAGCAGCTTATTCTCTTACTGACTCATCGTCAATTGTAATCCTCCGTATACTCACGTTACTTCAGGACGTAAACGATTTAGCTACATCACCGATTGAGTCGTCTATTATTGCTTCGGCTTCAGACGATACTAGCGTCCGAATATGGAGCCTTGACCCTATCCACAAGGAGCAACCTTGTCTTTGCATCCTAGCTGGCGAGGGCCACTCTTGGAACTTGCTTTCCCTTGTGAGAACCTCTTTTTTAGGCACCACGACCTTACCGAGCAGACACTGATAGTTCAAGGCATTTCATGACACTGGGAGATACATTTTATCTGCTGGACATGATCAAATAATTAATCTAGTTTGTCTAGTTCCCTGAACTAACACCGTGATCTCCGTACTGACACCACATACTCTCAGTGGACTATTCCCGATCTTCCAACGGACGCCATCACCACCCCTCTTCAAGTTCATTATCCGCACTTTTCTACGTCTGCTGTTCACAGCGGAATTGTCGATTGGTGTGTAACCCGATGAATTTACAACCATCTCAAATATGCTTGCTATCACTCGTAACTAATCCTGCCTTAGCGTCGCATTCTATGGAGACTGTGTTCTCTCCCGTGCTTGTCACGATAACGTTATTGTTCTTTGGAGGATTGAAGGATTTTCGTCCGAGGGATTGCCGCCACCGCAAAGCGCTGCTCCAACACCGCAAAACGTCGTCCCGACCAGCTACGAAGACCCGGATCGCCTTACGAGATCCGCATTCGTCCCAGCCACATCACCGCAATGCCCTTCACAGTATACACGCTTGCTCGAATTTCATACACCAAACTGCGGTCCCCAATTCTTCATGCGGTTCAAGCTCTTCCATGTCCCTGACCAAAATCCCGTACTTGCATTCTGCAATGCAGCAGGGAACATTTTCTTCTGGGATTTTCGGAGACTTACTGTGTATCACGAGGTCATGGCAGGCTTGCAAGGCAAGTCGAAGGCGGCAGTTACTCCGAGCTGGCTCAAACCGTTCACCCCTCGGCAAAGAGCGGACGCTATGGGCAGATTCAAGGGAGTTGGTAGTGATAGGGACTCACTGGCATCGGGGCAAACGGGGCAAACGGAAGCCAGTGAATACAGCCCAGAGACTCTAGAATCATGGGCATCTAGATATAGCACTGAGGATCCCCATGAGCCGCTCCGAGCCCATAAGACGGAGTCTTCCTCCACGAACTTCGTCGGGAGGCAAGCTGCATGGAGCCCTGGGGGAGAATGGTGTGTAGTAGTCGGAAGCTCGAACACCATGTTGATCTTGCAAAGATGGGCTAAAGGAGCGCCCTGTAGCCGAAGTACAGATTGACGGCCAGCTGCAGCTGCAGATTGTCGAGTATATAGTACTTTATGTGCTTCTGATTGGCAGTGACGCATACAACACATGTTGTTGCGATTCTTTATTTAAGTTTGAGCATTGACCCATGAGGTCCATTAATGGTCTGGCAGTATGTCCACCATTGTCGATAATTCTTTGCAGCATGATACTGGCAATTTCTTGCTCCGACTTTATGGCTGCTGTGGGTTCATTCGTGATGCCTTGCTGACTGCCATTGTCTAGGGCTAGAAGCTCTGCAATGAGAAGTGATACTGTTGCCCGTAATTGAAGGAAGTGGTGATTTTTGGAGTACGGCAACTCGTTGATGAGCGAGTCCATCCTCTTAGAAATATCCTTCAGAGCCTCACGCGCGTATATTTGGTTACGTTCCCTCTGAATTCGGAAATTTACTTCCGAACCAGGTTGTTTGACGTTCATGGTCATCTCCGACTGGTCATTTTGGTAGACATCCTCCGAGTACCTATCTGATATCTGCGGGGGTACCTCTTCCAGGTCCAATTGCAGAGCAGTGGTGGGTGAATCTGCTGAGGCATACATGGCATGGCAGCTATATACTTCACATGTCAGCATTGCAAGCTGAAAATGTAGTGCTGAGGTTTTTTTAGGAAACTTGTGATCATATGGATATTTCTGAATGAGCGCCCCAAGGTAAGCCTTCAGCTTTTTGAGATTTTCTGAAGGGTGCCGTCTCCTTGGAATGCGAATGCGTGTGTAACTTTTTGATCCGGAGAGCATGCCGTCGGTATACTCATGGCTTTCAATGTCAACATGTTGTAAACCTCGGTGCAGCAAGGTAACATCCTCGCCTCCTCTTATAATTATTTCAGCACCAATTGCCCAGATATTATGTTGACGAACATCAATGGGTCTGCTGCCAGGCCGAAGTTGCAGCACAATGCCAAATAATCTTGCTGCTTTTGTTATCTCTGCCTGGTCAAGAAGTTGGTGGATAGATCGTAGCAGAGTATCTAACCGACTGAATGGATGTGCCAAACTCGGCCGCCTCTGGTTTCGTTTATCCTTTCCACTTCTGACCATCCTTTCAGGCTCTTCTGCTGTTGCCTGTGACGTTTCGGATGCATCCAACTCGTCCGCGTCATCCTCTTCCTCTGACACGGTCACTTCAGGTGCCTTACGATCGATCCCGCGGTGGGGAAAGCATTCAATCCCTCGTGTTGGATCCTCATCGGTGTCTTTGAGACCAGCTAGAGATAGCTGACGCCTCTCGCTGGGCGAACGGCTGAAAGGGTTGATGGAGTTTGGCAAGTTCGTTGACAATGAGCTACCCTGTGCCCTGTCGCTGTAAGAATATCTCCGTTTCCGCTTGGCCGTCTCACGTGGCGAGGGTAATTGATATGGTGCGTCCGTTTGCATTTTTCAATTATTTGGGTCGCAACCGAGGGAAAGGGTGAGAGGAAGAGATGGCTTAAAACATTTTATGTCTGGTAGGAAAATGCTCATTTGACGTGGTGTGCAGGAACTGGACCCACCTTCATTGAACGATTCTGCGATGCCGACGAGGCAGGTACTTTTCCTGGCGAGTTTGCCCAATCATAGTACGTGGAATACGCTCAGTGACACACGGTATTTAAGCACATCAACAACAGACAGAATTATCGGCTAGACGTCTATTCAGGCCATTCCGTAACGGTCAAAATTAAACATTGAAATGATCCCAAAAGACAATGGGTCGTGTTTCATCAATGAAAGCCTTCGAAGAATATAGCGAGATAATCTACTTTACATCTACGCAACAAGACCGCGTTGCTTACATAGTCTTCCTGTCGAAGTATTCCCATTGGCCATCAACAGGCCGTTCCTCCAAATCCTCCCAACTGGTTGTACGATTAGCGAAATACGCTGACAAAACGGGTATTGATTAAGCTTTGAAAACACTCACATCCTGGCCTTCTCCATGGTGTCAATGATGAGAAGCTCGCCCTCTGCGACCTGGATGACCTCTTCGATAAGACCGGCGGCAATCTTATGCTCCAGCTCTTGCACCCTGCCAACTGTTAGATCATGAGTACCATGGGATGTCGCCGACGGGCAATAGCATACTGTTCTGCAGTCAACTGAGGTTCATCTTCCCATTCGATTTTTTCGTGGTCCTGTAACGGCTTCCGCTCAGCCCAGATAACCTGGTCCTGCCTCTCCGCTGGGGTTCGAATGCCCTCGAGCTCACCACCTTCGTCGGCTTCTCCATCCCATTCTTCGTAACGTATATCACCAGCTTCATGCTTCGCACCGATTATAAATACACGGTCCCCGAGTTTCACAGTTCTGGCCTCGCTACCGTCAACTCGACCGCTGGCAACTCGAAATTGCTCGGGGTTTTTGCTGATTAAGTCTTTGGCTTTGGTTGCCCACTCGTTGTAGCCAGGAGGGACAATATTTTCCACAAGACCCATTCGGTGTTTCGTAACAGCCTCCACAGACTGGCGATAAAGTGAAGTCTCAGGTATGGATTGGAGTTTGTTGAGGGTCGTCCCGTAAAGATAGAGAAGCGTCGATCGAGGAGTGGAATGAGTCCATAGACCGGCCAGGCCGGTAGGAGTGCCTGGCTCCAGGTAGCGCGCAAGCACACGTATCGTCGGCCGCATGCTGGCGAGTTCCAATGACTCTGTGCCGCAACAAGCTGATGGAAAGTCTGGGTTGAATGAAACCAAGGCAAGACTCATTTGCCGAACACGAACAAGCTCCAATCATAACCACGCATTTGTTTGTGATGACCATGTGAATGATCACGTGATCGAAGTTTAACGCCTACTGGACACACTTTTGCTTTCCTGGAAGTAGTAAGTTACTAGATAGATGGCAGGCGACGCAATCAGAATAAATACACACCCGAGGCAAATCTACGAGGTTTAAAACATGGATACATGCAATGCAATTCGGTAGCGTTTGCCACCAGTACAAAACCTGATCAATCATTAGGCGATTCTCCAAGTGCCTTGCCTCCCCACGTGTTGATACGACAATTTTACATGTGCAACTCTTTGCGCGACATCCATACTAGAAAAAGAGAGAACGAAATGACAGAATAGAAAGAAAATAGTGCGGGTACTAATATAACGTAGTAGGAGGCATGGGTCGAACCAAACAAATCAGGTGGTGGCGGCGCCTATCACACGACCGCCGTCGTCTACACAGGACAACTGCCTCAAATTGATTCTCGACGCATGCCATCAAATGCTGTATCCATAGGGACGAAGTAATATACGCTGTCTAGCGTAAGATTACGAGCCTTCTTCACGGCTCTTTCGATAGCTAGCCTGTGTGATTTAGTGGTCAAAATACAGACTTCAACACATCTCGAGTGTATGTGAATGTCCGACTCACTTCTTGTTCCGTTTGTAGGCCATCAACAACGGGAGCGAGTTCACTGAGAACTTCGTATGCCTTCTTGTGGTACTCGATTTGGGCGGCAATCAGCTCGGAAAGGTTGCGTAGTGGCTCCGGAGAGTTAAGGACCTGGACAGAAAATCAATACATTGAGCATTTAGTTTAATAGCATTTGCTCTCTCAGACTTACATTCTTCATGACACCGACAGCTTCTTCAGTCTGAGTTACAAATTCGTCCTCTGCTTTCTCAATCTCCTCTTGGGCCTCAGGGCTCAGTTCCTGCTCCTCATGTTGCTCGGGGCGAGAGCTACCGTGTCCGAGTTTGAAAGTCGTTCCCTTGGCATGAGCCTTGACAGCATCAAGAGAAAGCCTTGATCGCTCAACATTCTTTCTGGCACGGGTGGCAAAGCTGAGATTAGTGTTCAAGGTGGTATTCCAACCAGCAAGAAAGCTGCTCTGGATCTGGGAGTCTTGCGCCAAGCGGGCTTCACCAACTCTCTCCATTGTGATGGCATACTTCTCAAGTGCAGTGGCCAATTGATCCTCACCAGCTCCCGTATGATTCTGATGCAGCAGCTGACTGCTCGCCAAACTGGCGCGGGCGACAGCATGGCTAAAGGTCTTGGGCTGGGGCTTAGCACTTGGAGGAGCAACCAGGGCAGCCTGTGCTTCTGCGGTGGTAGTCGCGGAAGAAAGAAGAGAAACCTTCTCGCTGACGGTGCGGCCAAGGTCCTGGAATGTCTCCTTAATATTCGGTGGGTAGTCGTAGGCTTCGTTCGAGTATTGCGAGCTTCGGCAGCAACAGTTAGAGAGAGGATGATGCGTGGCACGAAGGACGTGGACAGGCGGGAGTAAATGCTCCAAATACTCACGTCACGGCAAGCATTTTTTGGTGCGCTTGCTTCAAGGCATCTACCTTTTTTTCGAGGTCTATATAGTCTGGTGGGAGCTGGGTCTACAGGAGAGGACAGGAATTTAGTGAAGCTGTGAGGACGGGTCCTTAGGATCGACTGAAAATTGGAATACCTTGTCCTCGGCCTGACCGAACTGTTCTTTGGTGAACTGAAAGGTGCGTGACGCAAAGGGTGTGATTTGCGCTCCAAAATCGCTGTGTGGCCGGGCTTGATTAGCTTGTGTGTCCCAACAATTGACCATGCGCGAAGAGCCAAGGGCATGGAACTTACGAGAGGTTCTTGCCAAAGCTCTTGAAATCCATCTTGAAAATTCTAAAAGATAGCTTAGGAACTTGTTAAGAAAGCGTGACAAAATGCAATCCAGATGCGATGGTTGGAGGTCGGATGGAGATGGTTGAGAAAAGTGTCCTCGAGCCAAGTATGATGTTGTTAGGAACGTTTTGTCTTTGTCACAAGCGAAATACTGAAGTGCTTGTCCTCCAACAGAGACGGGGGAACGGGGCAGGCACAGATGACGGCAACAGGCCTTAGACAAGCAAAACGCGCTAACTTTTGGGCGTGGCTCGTTACTCTACAGATGGGACCAGCATCAACCTGCCAGAGAGTCCCCACTTAGATACTGCCACGTGAGAGAGGCTTGGGAGACGTACAATGTCTACTTAAGTACTTAGATGGAGGAGGGAGGAGGGAGGAGGGAGGGGAGGAGGCACCTACTGAAGTGCCAGGTACATACTTAAGTCTTAATAAACTACAGCCATCTCCCGCATCCGACGTGATGTCCGTCCGATATTTATCAATGCGATGCATCCGCATGCTTGCCCATGCGAGTGGAATAACCTAGATCAATGGTCTGTTTGATATCTCCATTGTCCTTTCAATGTCCACTGACGCTCTCTGCCCTAGAGATGGAAAGCTAGACACTTCTCAAGGACTGATATCGGGGCATGTTTTCGAATGTTTCGTACCAAAACCAGACACTGTTATTTATACAGCCATCATCGAAATGAATGTTTCTCTCGCCAGGCATGTATGCACTCTCAGTGGATAGATATCACCACAGCCTACTCCGCATGAGAGAGGTATTTGATGCTGCGATGTGCTTAGCATCCCGCAAATACTAGCAGGTACCCAGTAGGTACTTACCTCCCGAGGCCGTAGGCACACTGTCACCACTTGCGGGATGCTAGTGCTGGCCATACTTTATGCTTGCTCCAGGCAATTTAATCCCAATACTTGCCAGTCCCCCATACAACTATTGACAGGTAGGTACCTAGTAGATATTAAATGAGACATTCGATTATACTTGGCCTTGGGCAAATACATCTTGCCACACACTAAATCGTAAATGCGAGCTGTAATAGAGTTACTGCTCTGTGGCCTAGTTGAAGACCAAGCTTGCGAGTTAATAAGCCTAGGATAATCAGACCTCGATTGCTTATTAATAGCCTGCCTAGGTTGATCACTCGCTGTCGGGTGGCATCTACGCGTCATGTTTCCCCAACATGGGATTAATATGCCCATGATTTCTGTCCAACCTAACTCTCTCCTCTCCCTTCGCCCTTCGCCCTTCGATCCGATCACCCTGAGTATCTAGGAGCAGGTCATTGGGCGCTCGTTAAATAGAGGCTTCTTCTCGTAGCTCTTACAAAGGTAAGAAAACAACGACGCCGTTTTCAGCTGACAATTGGTTCATCATGGCACCGACCCTTCTCTGGATTGGCCTGGGCAACATGGGCAGGGTGAGCTAAATCCTTTCAACTCCACGCTTATAGTCACAGGTCAGGTGATTCCTCCTAACCGTGTCGGATAGGGCATGTCCAGAAACATCGTCGAGAAGGGAGAGCTGAGTTCCCCGCTACTGCTATACAATAGGTCAGCGGAGAAGGCCGCCGACGTAGCAGCAAAGTTACCTGTGGGAAGAACTGAAGTCGTTACATCGCTAGAGAAAGCTGTTCCGAAAGCAGATATTATCTTCACCTGTGTGGCCAATGACGATGCAGTTCGGGAGCTGTTCAAGGTCATGCTCCGGGTGAATGTTTCTGGAAAGCTTTTCATTGACTGCTCCACCATCCATCCCGATACTACAGGAAGCATCGCAAAGGATGTTGCGGATGCCGGCGCAGAGTTTGTAGCTGCACCGGTATTTGGTGCGCCAGCCATGGCGGATGCCGGTCAACTTATCGGGGTGCTCGCAGGGCCGAGAGCTAGTGTTGAGAAAGCAAAGCCTTGGTTCAACGGAGTCATGGCTCGAGCTGAGATTGACCTCAGTGACCAACCGTATAGCAAGGCCACAACTCTCAAGCTATTAGGCAATACATTTGTGTTTAACATGGTTGAGCAACTCGCAGAGGCCCATGTTGTGGCAGAAAAATCTGGCCTCGGAACGGATGTTTTGCATCAATTCATTTCGCATCTGTTTCCGGGCCCGTACACAGCCTACTCAACCCGGATGCTTACGGGAGACTACCATAAGCGGAAGGAACCATTATTCGCTGTCGATCTGGCTCGGAAGGATGCGAGACATGCCAGAAATCTAGCACAATCAGCGGGAGCGGAAATAAAAACATTAGAAATTGCCGATGCGCATCTTGCCAAGGTCAAACAACATTGCGGCGAAGTGGGAGACATTGCGGGCATCTACGGAGCAGTTCGCGCAGAGGCAGGGTTGAAATTTGAGAACGATGCTTGATAGTTACTGGGCTCTCGGATTAAACCAGGCCGCATTACCATGCAATATGCTTTTCAATGCTCATAGAAGATTGCTAGACATAAGAATTGACAGTCGAGGATCAGGTAACAGTGCCATACTACAATGATGTTCTGCTATGGAAGAGCCAAACAGCTGCTTGCCCATGCACAGATTGGAACCCCCGTTGGGTAAAGGCCAACCCGGATACATGACTAAGCATAGTAATATGTACATCCTTGGTTGCTCCACCTCGATGGCATTCAGTCTCCAGAATCATGACGTTGGAACCTTTTCCCGAGACCAGCACGAACGTCACGATTTCAACACAAATAGATGTCCTGTCGTCTTACACTGTCACAAGGTGTCCGATATCCTAAAACATGGCTCAAGGGTAAATTCTTTCCGAAAGGGCCTAACATTGCCAGCTCGTACTGTTCCTAACACTCTGCTTCAGGTACGCTGTCTTCATCGGCCTCGTGATTATCGTGGCTCTTTGTGTCGCGTCGTGGTTTCTTGCTCCTAAGGGCCAGAATCAAGTGTATGTGCTTCTTTTCAGGCTCCTTCGAGGCTGCTGCCCCACGTTATTAGACAAGTTGGTGACTTTCTCTAACAATTGTCTGCAGCCTCTGGCGATCATCCCTTATTCTTTCTATTGTTAGCTGCTACCTTATGTGGGCGATAACGTTCCTAGCACAACTTCACCCCTTGATCGAGCCGAAGAGAAACGACTTGCGGGAGGAATACCTAGGTCACTAGGAATTCACTGATAAATTCGTGTCAGAGCCTTGGCTGGATTTTTCGTGGGAATGGGCAAGAAGCAGTCCAACGTGGCCTTCATTGTACGATTACATTGCGTTCGATTTCGGCGTTTTTCCTTTTGTTTTTCCGGATCGGGATGCAACCATCGCGGGGACCCGAGCGGTCTTTATTCTGTGTCCTGTGCATAGACACGGCTTATATAACTTAGGTAGTGTCAGTGGATATTTGGCGACGTCGGATGACCGCCGAATCTCACTACATCGGCTCTTATGAGGGATAATGCTCGAAGTCTTTGCCTGCTTTCTTCTTGGCAGCAGCTGTGAATTTCAGGCATAGCAAGGATATGTCTTGAATGTAAAGGAACACAATAACTTGATTAAAGCACCTACTCTCGTTCGCTCTACCGCCACCTCAACCTACAGCTAATCGACCAGCCCAGTCTCTTGCCAACATCACCAAAGCCCAGAGAGCTTTCCCGTCCGCAGCGACACTACTTTCGCCGATGGAGTCTACATCCCCAAGGCCAGCCGCGGTCAATACCAGTCTTCCCACAGCCCATCTAGACGCTGCGCCGGCTATTGCAAGAATGCAAGCAGTGTAATATTTGCAGTCTAATAAGATTCGTAGTGCCTCCACATTATTTGCAACTACAGCCCAGCCTAGTGATCTAGCTGCAGCTGGAACATCGTACTCCCATATAACCATTAAGATAGGAAACAACTTTGTTGATGAGGATACTAGAAGCGCGGTTGATACTGAGTTTGGCCGCGCGTGTCGCGGCATACCGCCAAATGCATTTAGAGGCGAAAATAGTGAGCAAGTAAGGAACCGGATGCTTAGATGGAAGGCCAGCGTCGATAAGGCACATAGGATCAGGAAGAAAAGATATTGTACCACAATAGGTTGTTGCGCGAGTCTGCCTAGATTACTCCCACCAGGAACCATAGTTGGCACTGTCTGTTTTTCAATGCGCGCCCACGTTAGGTAGACATCAAATAGCAGTAGAAGAACGCCAAGACGAATGATAGAAGGCTAGTTTGACGACGAGTGTGTGTCGGTCAGCAGATGCACGTTTTCTCGTAAGGAGGTTGCCAGCGCGCAGGGAGTGGACTGGGCTGTACCTAGGGGGTGTACGTACATCGAATCGATCGCCGTCTCGCATCAAGGTGTTATGGAGGAGGTGCCTATAGACCTGTTCGAGGCAGAGAAATTACCCATCATCAACCAGAGGCTCCTAGTAATCAGAAATTAAGGCTGGAGAACATACTTGTGGCTTGATCAAAACCAGATCTATGAAGAGAACGACAAAGTCATGCTCCACATACTTGTCACAGAATCGACCGCAGTTGCGACAGACGGTCAATCTAATATTGTGCCCGCTGGACTTGTCACCAGCGCCAGAGTATTGAGTCCATAGCGTCTTGACGGGATGTCGACATTCGATGCAAATCGGCATTTGATCCACGCCTTTGGTTTGAGGTGACCGTGAGTGGTTCGCGCAGACGATGTCGTGGCGTGCTTGGATTGTCGTGATTAATCTGAGAACACGCGTGTCTAGGTACCTAGGTAGTTGAGGTCATCTGCAGGGTTCTCAAGTCGACCGCGTGGGGCTTAAATGGTCAACCCTTGCGAATTCGAGGTGTTCCAGCGACAACATTTGGTCAAGACTGTCAATGTTGGGATGATGAGCGCTGTAACAGGCTGGAGTTGACGGTCTCCTGTCAGCTCTGCTATTTTCTGTACTGAAAGTAGAAAGTTAGTAGAGTGCCCCCACCCGATGTCGGCAGCTCCATCCTGTTGGATGGAGCCTCACCAAGCGGCTTGCAGTCTTGAGAGTTGGCAAAATAACCTCCGAGTTTATTCAAGCATATGCCAGTAACTAGTTACCTGACAACTTGAAGGTAAAAATATGCACAGCACATGTAGTCAAGTAGAGTGTGAGATTTTTTATTTTGGGAGGGAGACCGTACTGCTTGCTACGGTAACTGTGATGGAATCAATCAATGGCTTTTTCAATTTCAAGCGGAGCAAGAGGAAGCCAGCCAGTCCTGTGTGGCTGCACATGTTACAAACCGCTTTTATGAAAGCCTTTAGTATACTGCAGTTGGCATGTGATGTTAGTTTATCTAGAGAAGCACGATATTTTGGATGCTCGGCCTTGTAATGCAACGATTCAGAGATCGCGTCTCTTGCTTAGATCTATGCAGGCATTCGCAGACTTTGTTACTCTTTCCTCACGGGCCGTCAACGTTTGACCAAAACAAAAGGAATACTGGACCAAGCAAGGTCAAATGATAGAGCCTGGGGAAAAAGTAGCAATTCGGCTTTTTAAATGCTTCTGTCCCATATCAAAACTCCTAGCAGGAAACGAACACAGGTTTCTTCCATGTTCTGTAATCTGTTTACCCTCAACTCCTTGATCCAAAAACAAATGGAAGATGCCATGATCAGCCAGAAATGGCTGCAAAACAAAACGACGCAACGTACACAAGGTTACAGCCTTGTACAAATACATATATATACTGGAGGTTGAAGTCTTTTGCACCAGCAATCCCCATAATAGACTTGGGCGGCATCAAGGGGATGATTGTCAGCATGCTGGCCAATTCAATCGTCCTTTTTATGGGTAGCCCCGTCATCGACGCTGAACTTGGTCCTGCCTTTGATTCTTGGACCACCATCAGTCCTCCCCGTAGTCACAGAGCGTCCTGAGCCCAAAATGCTTGTGGAAACGGGGCGTGCCGCCTTGCCATCATCACTTGCTGTGTCTGTCAACTCGATTAAATCGGTGGCATCTGGGTCTGCTGACAGGCCCGTGGGCCGCAGACGGCTTCCCAGCAGCGGTGTACTAGGACGCTTGGCCAAGGCTCCACGCAGCCAGTGCTCAACTGCTGCTGCTGCCCTATCTAGACCAGTACCTTGTCGAGAGGTAGAGGACGCATTTCTGCAGTTTTCAAACGGGCTTTCAACAATGCCAGATGCGCTTTGCCCAAACCCAAAATTTGCGGTCTCTGAGCCCATTACAGACATCGAAGGCAAGGCTTCCATATCGAGACCCGGGATGTGTTTTCTTGTCCAAGAGTTGAAATAATCTGTATCCGGCCCAGGTGCTCTCACAGTTCTGCTCATAGAGCCCACACCACCCGGTCGTCGCATCCATGCAGGCCGGCTGTCAGTTGCCTCACTTCCAGCCCGACTCTGGGAGGACATTGGTGTGCCGGGAATCAGAGGATGACCACTGACCGAGCTTAACCGACGAGTTGAAGGACGTTCGGTAGAATTTGGAGCGAGGCTTGACAGATCTGAGCTCTGTCTTGGAGTGGATAATGGCGATGCAGTCCTAATACTCTTTTTCCGTCGTGGTGGAAAGTAACCTAGAGCTTGTCGTGCCACCCGTACAATTTCAACCGGCTGTCTGAATGAATCGATATGAACCCAGCGAACATGGGACCAAGGGAGATCTTCTGCTCGCTCTTGCTTTGCATCTATGTGTGAAGAGTCAGCCGACAGGCTGAGAGTTCCTCTATACGAACCATCTGTAGCAAATGAGGATTCTCTAGCGATCGAGGAATTCCGTGTCAAGAGATCTGCTTCACGTTCGTCAGACCATGATGGTGGATCGCATGGGCGTCCTTTTATCTCGCAAGCATCCACAGGGATGATTAGCCACTTGCGCATCTGGACGCTGTCTCGAGACCAAAGGCCGTTGGATTTCCGGAAAATATCTTCCCGGCACTTATATCGAAGTATTATACCGGCGTAAGTATCGCTCGGTTCGACATTATGAACGTAAACCAGATGCTCCTCAGGTTCCGGGTCCAAGGGGCGGATCTCATCCGATGTACGCCGCTTATGCTTCCCGATGACATCGAGGCCACCGTTCACCCCCTCATGGCTTTCCAATATACTCGCCGTTTTTGCGGCTTTCAGAGCGTCCCGTCTCTTGGCCAGGGATCCCACCCCAACATCGTTATTCCTCTGTCCTCCTGATGGCGGCGATGGCCCCCATGTCTCTGATCGGGAACCGCGGGGAGTGCGAGGGTAGAGCTGTGTCGATCGAATTGCTTTGGGAGAGTTATCGACGCCGGAAATCAATGTCGAAGCAAACGCTTGAACTGAGGTCCAGCTCTGAGTCCAAGAATCTCCTAGAAATTGCGCAAGGTCGCCACCGGTTGAGCCTTGATTTGGAATTGAATCTTCCTGAGACCTTTCCAATGTCAGGGGGACGGGTTTGTTCCCATGCGTAGCGCCTTGTATGGGGTATGAAGTTCCACTGCTCTTCGTAATCCCAGTTGTCGTTGGCGGGCTATACGTCTCGTCAATAGTCTCGACGCGACGATTCCGGGGTCGGGCAGCGTTCGAGGCTGACTCATGGGACAATGTTGAAAGAGAAGATGAAGTCAAGTAAGTTTGGGCCTTCGCTGGATTGCCTCGGTCGGTCATGATGACCGCGAACTCAGCGACAGCAACTCGCTGGTTGTGTTGATGCAGCTTCGCATCAGGTCTCTGCTAACACAAGCACAAGACTTGGGGAATCGGGAATGCCGCATGCAGCTCAAAGGTGCCCGATAGACCAAATAGCGAAGACGAGGCACAATATAGTATAGACAACAAGATTAAGGGAAGGCCGGTTCGACTGTATTGGTGATGTTCATGGTCCGTCGTCGGTCGCGATTGATAAGGAGCTAAGAGGACACGCAATGACGAGGAAGCAGTGAGTGGTGTCGCCTGTCCGAGGCACCAATGAATAGAAGTGGGGAGTTCCAAAACCACAAGTAGAGTGGGGCCGGCCCTGCATCAACTTTATAAGGCCGCCACATCCAGCGCATTCCCAAAGTTCGTATAACTTGATGTGTATCGATCTACCTTCTTGTTACTTGAATACTGAATCAAATGAGGTGGGAAAGAGTTGCAGTTAGCTCAAGGTGGATAAATACGGCGGCTTGTTCAATCTCTTGCATAAACGGGCAAGCAGATAGATATTTAGACCACCACACTCAGGGGGAAACGAGTCATTCTCAAAGGCTGGGGACATCCTGGTTTGGGTGTATTTTCGTGCAGACCAACATGTGCCAATATCGTCACTGATGTGGTGCATTCTCAACAAGGTGCTACAGAGCACCAGAAGTATCTTGAATCATACCTGGCCCATCTGGTTATAACAAAGTACATACCATTCCTATCTGTTCAGGCCGCAGCGGCACATCCATCCAAAAAGAAGCAGTAGTCCGTATGAACTAGATTACTTGAATCCTTATCGCTGCCTCCTCCACCGTAACTATTTGCTGAGCGAATTGATTGTAAGACCCATCCCTATTTGGTGGACTCTCTTTGCTTATACCAATTTAAACCATTGGTCACGCCTCGGTGAGCCAAAATAGGAAGAACACATTCTCACACATACCAGCACAGTTGAGAATATTGGGTGCCGGCAGATATCTTCCTAATCCTGTTGTGACAAAATCGTCAACTATACACAAGTGCTTGATCCTCGCCAGTTCTTTCTTCTGTGTTTTACACGTGCCTAAATATTAGGTGCTTAAAAGTTGGACAGGCTCGACTGAGCCAGGGACGCAAAATGGCTTCCGGAAAATGATCGAAGCAGTAACACAGGTTGCTAGCTTCAGGTTTCACCTCAACTCAGGGATACATCGAGATTCAAATTGCTAGCATCGCCATTGATGCCAAAGAATTGGAACCTGCATACTGGATTAGCTGCGATGAAGGAAGGGATGGGTGACAAAAGAAACATTTGGCATAATAGAAAAAGGAGGGAAAGGAAGGAGAAAGGACAGGAAAGGAAGCCAGTCGACTTACCAATCCTCCACGTTCAAGGTCGTGGGAGCAGGTTGCCCTTGGACTGAGCTTGTGCTCCAACTGTCTGGACTTTGTCCGTCGTGCACGCCCCCGTCGAAATTGGTGTGCCACATGCCGGCAGATGCATGAAAGCCTTGCGTAGGTACGCCACCATTTCCTTGTCCTTGACCTGTAGCCTGAAACTGGTTGCTTGCCTGGCCTTGTGACATGCTGTTGGGTGTCATCTGCGCCATCAGATTGTGGTTCGGTTCTTGATGTGTTTGTGTCGGAGATAGATTAGGGAAAGCAGGCATGCTGGAACTTTCGGGGAAGAGCTGATCTGGTTGAAAATTTTCCCAGAGCGATTGCGACAAATTTGGTGAGTTTCTGGTTACAAGATAGAGATCTGGGGGCGTAGCGGGAACTGAAAACGAGGGATTGAATGGGGTTGCAGGTCTGGTCTGAGGTCGCGAATTGGTTCCGCCCATAAATGTATCTGCCACGCTGGGTCGACTATTGGGAGACGCGACAGCCGGCGGTTGCATAGCCGAAGTATTTTCGGTTTTGATTGCACTCGGTGTTTGAGGTCTAGAGCGCTCGTAGGATTCCTGAGGCGTTGGGGCATTTGCGGTGAAATCGATGGCCATGTCATCATACTTT